CGTAAAGGCCGAGGTAAGGGCATCCCGGAATTGCTGGACGTTTGCGCCAACCTTCAATTTGGATTTGTCACCGTGCGATTTTGCGGTTTTTTCGACTGTCTCGTAGATGGCATCGCTCTTCCGCTCGTAGACGATCGCGGAGATTTGAACGAGGAGTTTGGCAATGTCGAGGTTGAACTCGCGAATGACAGGATCAGTGCTGCCGGTTGGCACATGCGACTCGGAAGGGACAGAAAGAGAATCATCAGCGGCAGCTATTTGTTCTGGGAGTAGAGTCTTGAAGAGATTTGGTGTAACTGACGTTTGGGTGAGGCGTCGGAGAGAGCAACGACTTGAAATTTGACGGCGAGCACCTACGAAAGTTTACGAGGCCAAGATCTCCACCGAACTTTTCAGACCATAACCAGTAGATCCATTGTACGGGGGGCAAAGAGGCGAATTGACACCAGAGGAGAGCCCACCCAAGAAAGACGGATGTAAGAAGTGCGGTGAGCGTCAAAGTCAACCAGTCTAGGAATGCTATCCGGGGTTGACTCGCATTAGCCAAGGAAATGTGACTGATACAAGGAAATAAGAGGGCGTACGGGTATCGAGGGTCGATGCGACGTAGGCGATGTTCGTCCAAGTCGCCCACAAATACCTTGCATACGCAGGAATGGGGGAAAAGAAAGTACTAGGGAACCTCGCTAATAATGATGGTGAGTGGGGGGGGAGTGAGACAGACATGGGCGACTGACCAGAAACAGTGCCAAAGACACTCGTCAATGCGACGATTTCTTTGTGCCGAGCCTCCTTGAGTTCTTTCCGAAAGTTGTCAACGGATGGGTCCTGGATAACACTTTCGACATCCTGCACTGCCTGGGGAAACCCCGTCTGTTCCAAATCAGTGGCCATCGTCCAGTCGCGCAACGATGCCTGATGGGGGGAGGGACACCGGACAGACCATTTCGGCTGCACGGTATAAATACAAACACAAAGGTCAGGTCCAGCCAACGAATGCACGTGAATACGCATCCAGGGTTTATATATATCGGGAATGGGTGTCCGGTACCTGGTTTCGTCAGGTCCCCAACTTGATCTTGTGTGAATCGAGAATGGAGGGAATCAAGTTTCGGTGGTACGACGAGCAGTCAGTCATGTACCCAGTCCAAAAGGTGTGGTTTCGACTGACCTCAGCAGCTTGGAGGATTCCACCAGCACCCTGCATATGTCTGGAACATCTAGAATGCGCCAAGTGTTGGCCCTACCGCCAAATGAATGACCCAAGTGATATATAACGAAGGAAATGCATGGGTTCCCACGACAATAGAGACCCTTACATACTGAATGCGGACATGGTAGTCATGCGCCAACACCTAGACTATATACACTATATTTGTAATTGCATGTCAAGCAATCATATGGGAATGCACCGCGTGACACATGAAATTTCAAGCAGCACAAAGCGCGCTTGGAAGATACTAGGGCTTTAAATTCATGCATTACATATTGAGACATCGCGCCCGGTGCGATATCGATCGAGTAGCACAATTGTAATTCAAAACCAAGCTCTTCATCACGCGCGCTCCTCGGCACTAGAGTCCTGCCTACCGCTAAGTACCTAGTTGTACTCGCGGTCCGGAAAGTGGGGAAAAACCCTTTCTAGCCAAAAAGATGTCGAACAGCCAAACTGGTGCCAGGAAATGCTCTCAACCAAAGTTCAACCCAGAAGTCGAGAATGATGTAGCAAAGCAACGGGAGTCTGAGTATTTCCAATATGAATGACCCCTACCAAACACAGGATGGTGGCTTAAATACAGGCGCCAACAAGAAGAAGCGACACTACCAAGACACGTATCTCGGTCGCATAATCACAGACCAGGAAAATCATCTACTGATGAACAGCAAAAAAATTGCGGAGAACACATCAACGGGTTCATAGCCCCTCACCCAGACACAGTAAATCGGGGCCAAAGCGGCCAGCTGATTCCAATAAAGACCTGAAAATAGGAAAAATATGATCAGCGTGCGTCCCCCAAGGTGTGGAAAAAAGCATCCAGGAGACCACAAAAAGGTAAACTGACCTGGTGAGTGGGCAAAGACTCTCCCGACCACTGGAATCTGCTGAACGAAATTCCCCCATCCCACCCTCTTCTCCCAGTCAGGATGATCTAAGAGCTGCTGCACTCGCTGTTCCTTCAAATCTTCTGCGGTGAATATACTCGTGATCTTCACGATAGTGTCCGCATCGTAGAGTGTACCAGCGAACTGAGAAGGAGTGTCGTAATCCAGCATCCTGATTTCTGCGCCGATATGAGCGAATCCAGCAGGGTTCGTTGAAGTAAGCTCCAAGTTGGGGTTATTGCCCAGTTGAGGACCACTAGAACAAACAATGGGTGTTCCGGGTGTTCCGGGGCAATTGGAAACGACAGCGAATGTTGGCTAATGAAGTAAAAGAAACAAACGCGGCACATACCCTGTGGCAACGATGTCGTTGCGATTCGTGACTCTCCACAGAGTCTTCACGTCCCTTTGTCCTCTAATGACCACATTAAATCGCTGCGACGTAGGACGATTGCCCACAACCGGAGCACCAAATGTGTACGCATCACGGATCACAATAGGAGCGTCACCAAAGTCCTCCGAGAAGTTGTTGATTGCACGGGTATACGCAAGACCAGACAATGCACAACCGACTAATCACGGGGGGGCAGCTAGCATTCCTTGCATAGTATTGTAAAAGACGTTTCGAAACAACTCACGGGAATGTCCAGTGAACCACACGTTGATCTTCTCGCCCGCGGGTTGTTGTCTGGCTAGGTCATTAGCAAGTGTGATCAACATCGTACGAATTTGGTCCCAAGAACTTTTCCTTCCTGATATTTCAAAGAGGCGTCGCAGTCTGCTCGGCCAAATTCGGTCTCTGAAGCCTTTGTGAAGTTGGCTGAATGTGGGAAGGACTTCATCCGCATGGACCATTCGTGTGGTCAGGTCGACAACATAATCGGGGTAGTCAGTAGGGCCAGTGCCTTTGAATGCAACAATAATCCAGTTTCCGCCACCTTTCCAGAAGAAAGAGCAGAAGGCCTGTTTCGGGATGGGCCATCAATATTGACGTTGCGGACAGAACTCGGGAAAGGGGTAAGGGGAGGGAGGGGTGAAAAATTACGTACACTTGTTGAAGTGGATAATTCGCTAACTGGCGTGTAAGAAAGTCCCGTCTTTTTGCAAAAGTCCTCGATGACATCCGTGCCCCATCGACGCCTGTTCCATCCAAGTTTCGCTAACCTGGGGGCATCACGAACGAAGTTGATGTCGGTAAAGGCCAAGCTAATGGTTCGGCCGCGAGATCTTGCGGTTTCTTCGACGGACTCGTAGATGGCATCGCTCCTTCGCTCGTATACGATTGAGGAAATTTGGATGAGGAGTTTGGCAATATCAAGGTTGAATTCGCGAATCACAGGAGCAGTGCTTCCTGCTGAGGCTTGGGGCTCAGGAGGACAAGAAAGAGCATCATCTGCGGCAGCTATTTGTTCTGGGAGCAGACCCTTGAAGAGGTTTGGTGTAACTGACGTTTGGCGTAAGGCATCGAAGAACAACGACCTGATCGGAACTTGAGGACAGCAAGCACTCACGAAGGTTTATAAGCCCAAGATTCCCACGAAACCTTTCGGACCACCACCAGTAGACCCATCGTACGGGGGCAGAGAGGTGAATTGACACCAGAGGAGAACGAACCAAAGAATTATGGAGATGATAAATGCGGAGGAAGCCAATCTGAACCAATCAACAAATGCTATCCGAACATCGCTTGAAATTAGCCAAGGGAGTATACAGGACGAAAGGAATAGCAAGGCATACGAGTCTCGAAGGTCGATGCAACGTAGGCAACATTTGTCCAAGTCGACCACAAATACCAACCATACGCAGGAATAGGGGCGAAGAAGGTATAGGGGAACCTCGCTATAAGTAGGGTTGGTGAGTAAGAAGGAGGGAGAGAAACATGGACACCAACCAAACCTAGTACCAAAGACACTCGTCAATGTGACGATTTCCTCATGCCGAGTCCTCCGAAGTTCTTTCTGAAAGTTGAGAACGGATGTGTCCAGGAACACACTTTCGACATCCTGGACTATTTGGGGGAACCCCGTCTCTCCCAAATCAGTGGTCATTTTCAAGTCGCGCAACAGCAGTGTCTGAGTGAGGGGAAGTACAAGAGACACAGAGACCCAGCAGAGACACAGTCCTGTATAAATGGAAATACACTGGGACTTAAGATGCGCGTGAAACCAATCGAACGGACGGTTGGAAGGCATTCACGTTGTACGCAAACTAATTCAGGAAAAGGGTAAATCCAAAGGATTCCGCTTTAGAAGCAAGTGCTCTGAATACAGTACAAGCAGTAACAAGACGACCAAGGATGTAAGCATAACGCCGCAAGCTCAACAACGTGAGTCGCCACAAGGCATGTCAACCCGACCTCAAGAATGCCAAACAGAAGGAATGATCTTAGCCTTGGCAAGCATAGCAAGCAGTCGGGACCTATATATGGCTACCCCCACCATGACCGAACGGCGCACGAAGGAACCTCAAAGCAGTTTCAACAACCCGGCCCAGCTGCAGCCACATTCCAGGACTATCTCAACCACGCGAAGTCACATCAGAAACCCTGGAGTGGCGAGGAAGAAATTGCCCAGTAAATAATCCATGTAGATCGTGTGAGAATCCAAAAATAGCAACAAATTAGATAACACTTGTCTAGCGCCCTGACGCTTATGTAAGACTGATGTGCATCTTCATCGTGTGTTGCATCAGTATCATCTTGTCAACTTTATTCTGAGCCTCTACCAGGCCATATGCCACCATCTTTCTCTGCAATTTGCCACACATAGAACGTATAAATTGTATTCATCATTCGAATGAGTATTGGTTGGTTCCCCAATACGGACCCTCACCCAACAGGACGATACAGGACGGATGAAGACTTAAATACAAGCATCACAGAAGCGAGATGGCACGAGCACAAAGCGCTTATCTCGGTTACATGAAAGTCTAGGACAAGGAAGATCATCCACTGATAGATTCGGTATAAAGCTTGTCGAACGGATCGACGGGGTCCCAGCCCTGCACCCAAACACAGTTAATCGGAGCCAAAGCGGCCAGCTGATTCCAATAAAGACCTGATAACAGTCAGCGCCAAAAAAAAAAAAAAAAACAAGATCAGCGTCCGCGTCCAAGGTGTAGAGTGGAGAAGCCATCCAGAAAGGCAAACTAACCTGCTGAATGGGCAAAGCCCCTCCCGAGCAATGGAATCTGCTGGACAAAATTACCCCAACCCACCCTCTTCTCCCAGTCGGGATGCTGCAAGAGCTGTTGCGCTCGCTGTTCCTTCAAATCCTCTGCGGTGAATTTACTGTCGATCCTCACGATAGTGTCCTTATCGTAAAGTGTACCAGCGAAATGAGAGGGCTTGTCGTAATCCAACATTCGGATCTCTGCGCCGATATGAGCGAGTCCACCAGGGTTCGTCGAAGTAAGCTCCAAGTTAGGGTTGTCACCGAGTTGAGGACCGCTAGAGCAAACATCGGTGTTGTAAGAGTAAAGGAAACGCAGTTAGAATCGACGCCAAGTGTTTGCGGAGGGAAAAAAGCAAACGCGATACATACCCGGTAGCGACGAGATCGTCATGATTCGTGATCCTCCACAAAGTCTTTATCTCCTTTTGTTGTTTGATGACCTGATTGAACCGTTGCGACGTAGGACGATTACCGACAATGGGAGAGCCAAATACGTATGCATCACGAATCACGATAGGAGCATCACCAAAGTCCTCCTCGAAATTGTTGATCGCACGGGTATACGCAAGACCAGACAACGCACAACCGACTTAAAGCACGCGGGCGAGTAATTCAGCTTTCCCCTTTGCACAGATTGTACAAGGCGTTTCAACTCACGAGAATGTCCAGTGAACCACACGTTGATCTTGTCACCCGCGGGTTGATTCTTGACTAGATCTTTAGCAAGTATAACGAGCAGCCTACTAATTTGTTCCCAAGCTTGCTTTCTTCCTCGGATTTCAGCATCAGTCACCAGTCTATTAGGCCAAATTCGGTCCCTAAACCCTTTATGAAGCTGACTGAACGTGGGAAGGACCTCATCCGCATGCACCAATCGTGACGACAGATCAGTGACGTAATCGGGGAAGTCAATGGGACCAGTGCCTTTGAACGCCACAACGATCCAGTTTCCTCCACCCTTCCAGAAGAAAGAGGCGAAAGCCTATTGTGGAAAGGGTTATCAATATCATTAAAAACTAAACAAATGTTAATGAAAAAAAAAACATACACTCGTCGAAGAGTTCAATTCGCTAACTGGCGCATAAGAAAGTCCCGTCCTTTTGCAAAAGTCCTCGATAATATCCGTACCCCATCGATGCTTGTTCCATCCAAGTTTCGCCAACTTGGAGCCATCGCGAACGAAGTTAATGTCGGCAAAGGTCGAACCAATGGCTTGGCGGAATTGAGGAAGATTTGCACCAAATTTCGTCCGCTTGGGTTTATTACCATGAACCTTCGCGGTTGCATCGACTGAGTCATAGATAGCATCACTCTTTCGCTCGTATACGACGGCCGAAATCTGGAGGAGTAGTTTGGCTATATCAAGGTTGAACTCGCGAATTAAAGGGCCAGTGCTTCCGGCTGGTTCTATCGCCTCAGGAAGAAGAGAAAGACCATCATCGGCGGCAGCAATTTGTGCTGGGAGTAGACCCTTGAAGAGCTGTGGCGTAACTGGCATTGGCGTAAGGGATTGAAGAACAAAACGACCTGAAGACAGCACTCACGAAGGTTTATGAGCCCAACATTCCCATTGAACTTCTCGGACCACCACCAGTAGACCCATTGTACGGGGGGCAGAGAGGCGAATTGACACCAGAGGAGAATGAATGCAAGAATTATGGACGTAAAAATGGCGGAGGTAAACACTCTGAACCAATCGATAAATCCTATTCGGACATCGCACGCATTTAGCCAAAGGAGTATGAAGGATGAAGGGATATCATGGCATACGAGTCTCAAAGGTGGCTGCAACGTAGATGATATTTGTCCAGGTCGTCCACAAATACCATCCATATGCAGGAATGGGGGCCCAGAAAGAATAAGGGAACTTGGCTGTAAAAGAGGGTAGTGAGTAGGAGTGAGCGAGACAAACATGGACACTTACAAGAGGTACCAAAGATACTCGTCAATGTGATAATTTCATTGTGCCGAGTCTCCTGAAGTGCTTTCCGAAAGTTGGGGACGGAGTCATCCAGAAACACACTTTCGACGTCCTGAACCGTTTGGGGGAACGCGGTCTCTCCCAAATCAGTGGTCATTGTCAACAGTCTCTGAGTGAGGGGGAAAGAGGAGAGGTCCAGAGACCCAGTCCGGTATAAATGGAAACACGCAGGGGCCAAGATGCGCGTGAAGGCATATATTGGATTGACATTCAACCCTGCAAGTGTCAGCCGCACGGAGAGAACTAAACATGTGACCAACCTCTATAGTACAGATTTATTCTGACAGGGAACGTAAATAAGCAGGATACCAGCCACTATAGATAGAGAACGTGAACAGGTGTCGAGTGGACAATGAAGCGTCCCCAACAATACCCATCCCGAGGAACACCTGGATACTCCCTCTACCATGTATCTGACGACGTCATGGAACTGAATTGGACCAGGACTGTTGCAACGTGATCAGCCATTTTCAATTTAGTTATCACGTGAAATGATTTCGGTTCTGACGCCCCGCGGAATCCTACAGTAGGCAGGAGTACTCCGGCCTCTCGGCTCATCCACATGCATTGCGTGACCACCAGGTCACATACTTAGGCCACCAAGTGTCTATCTCGGTTACATGAAATTCTAGGACAAGGAAGATCATCCACTGATAGATTCGGTATAAAGCTTGGAGAACGGGTCGACGGGGTCCCAGCCCTGCACCCACACACAGCGAATCGGAGCCAAAGCGGCCAGCTGATTCCAATAAAGACCTGATAACAGAAAACAAGATCAGCGCCTGCGTCCAAGGTGTAGAGAAGCCATTCAGGAGCAAGGCAAACTAACCTGCTGAATGGGCAAAGAGCCTCCCAAGCAATGGAATCTGCTGGACAAAATTGCCCCAACCCACCCTCTTCTCCCAGTCGGGATGCTGCAAGAGCTGTTGCGCTCGCTGTTCCTTCAAATCTTCCGCGGTGAATTTACTCCAGATCCTCACGATAGTGTTCGCATCGTAAAGTGTACCAGCGAAATGAGAGGGCTTGTCATAATCCAACATCCGGATCTCTGCGCCGATATGAGCGAGTCCACCAGGGTTCGTCGGAGTAAGCGGCAAATTAGGGTTATCACCGAGTTGAGGACCACTAGAGCAAAACATCCATGTCGTAAGAGTAAAGGCAGCGCAGTTAGAAACGACGCTGTGTTCGCCAATGAAGAAGAGAAACAAACGCGGCACACACCCTGTGGCGACGAGATCGTCGTGATTCGTGACTCTCCACAAAGTCTTTATCTCCTTTTGTCCTTTGATGACCTGATTGAACCGTTGCGACGTAGAACGATTACCAACAACAGGAGAGCCAAATACGTATGCATCACGAATCACGATAGGAGCATTACCAAAGTCCTCCACGAAGTTGTTGATCGCGCGGGTATACGCAAGACCAGCTAATGCACAACCGACTTAAAGCACACGGGCGGGCAGTTTAGCATTTCCCTTTGCGTAGATTGAAAAAGGCATTTCAACTCACGAGAATGTCCAGTGAACCACACGTTGATCTTGTCACCCGCGGGTTGATGCTTGACTAGATCCTCAGCAAGTTTAACGATCAAGCTACTAATTTGCTCCCAAGATTTCTTTCTTCCTTGGATTTCAGTATCAGTTACCAGATTATTAGGCCAAATTCGGTCCCTAAAGCCTTTGTGGAGCTGGTCCTCACGCTTGAACTTTGGAAGGACCTCATCCGCATGCACCAATCGTGATGTCAGATCAGTTACGTAATCGGGGAAGTCAATATGGGACCAGTGCCTTTGAATGCCACGACGATCCAATTTCCTCCGCCTTTCCAGAAGAAAGAGGCGAAAGCCTGTAGCGTTATCAGTATCATTACGGACTAAATCAAGGTTAATGAAAAAGAAAAAAAAAATACATACACTTGTCGAAGAGTTCAATTCGCTAATCGGCGCATAAGAAAGTCCTGTCCTTTTGCAGAAGTCCTCGATAATATTCGTACCCCATCGACGCTTGTTCCATCCAAGTTTCGACTTGGTGGCATCATCAATTTTAGTAAAGGTTGAACCAATGGCTTCGCGGAAGTGTTGAAAATCTGCATCAAGTTTCCCCCGTTTGAATGTACCGCTATGAGTTTTCGCGACGGACTCGTAGATAGCATCGCTCCTTCGCTCGTATACGACGGCCGAAATCTGGAGGAGTAGTTTGGCTACATCAAGGTTGAACTCGCGAACCAAAGGAGCAGTGCTTCCGGCTGGTTCTATCGGCTCAGGAAGAGAAAGACCATCATCGGCGGCAGCAATTTGTGCTGGGAGTAGACCCTTGAAGAGCTGTGGCGTAACTGGCATTGACGTAAGGGATTGAAGAACAAAACGACCTGAAGACAGCACTCACGAAGGTTTATGAGCCCAACATTCCCATTGAACTTCTCGACCACCACCAGTAGATCCGTTGCAGGGGGGGCAGAGAGGCGAATTGACACCAGAGGAGAAGGAACCAAAGAATTATGGATGTAAGAAGCGAGGCAGAAAACAATCTGTACCAATCGATGAATCCTATCCGGACATCGCACGCATTTAGCCAAGGGAGTATGAAGGATGAAGGAATAGCGTGGCATACGAATATCGGAGGCGTATGCAACGCAGACGACATTTGTCCAGGTCGTCCACAAATACCACCCATACGCAGGAATGGGGGAAAAGAAGGAATAAGGGAACTTGGCTGCAAATAGGGTGGTAAGTAGGAGTGAGCGAGACAAATATACAAGAGGTACCAGAAATCGTCAATTTGATAATTTCATGGTGCCGAGTCTTCTGAAGTGCTTTCCGAAAGTTGGGGACGGAGTCATCCAGAAACACACTTTCGACGTCCTGGACTGTTTGGGGGAACCCCGTCTCCTCCAAATCAATGGTCATTGCCAACAGTGTCTGAGTGAGGGGAGGCCCAGAGACCCAGTCCGGTATAAATAGAAACACGCAAAGACCAAGATGCGCATGAATGCATTTTGGATTGACATCCGATCCTGGAAGTGTCAACCGCACGGATCTATTCTGATATAGGAAATGTGAACAGGTACGAGTGGACAAATGAAGGCGCCAGGAACCGAGGGAGTTAGCGGAATTGGCCGAATCCATTGTTATCGTAATATGAAAATTGTAAGACTGTTGCCTAGCATCAGTCCCTACTAGATTGATTGTGTCTAATTTCAGCTCGTTAACGAATCTGGAATCCTTCATAATTTCATGCCGCAGGTCAACTCCCGTGTATGATTATCGCGGAGTTGTGGTTCCAACCTACTATCTTTGCAGCCTTTGAAAGCCCCTTGCTTACTTGAACTGTGGGTCCTTCGATTGGATGGACCCCAGACAACCACCTTGCCGGCCTATAGACGTGACGTGCAAGTAATGGAATCTACTCTCCGTTGAGAAGACTCTTAATCGCATCCGTCAATACGCAGGAGGAGGATTGGTTAATTTCCAACACGCCGGCACACCATGTCCAAATAAAAATTTAGCTGGTGAACCCATCCCTACGCTAATCAACTACCTCCGTCAAGGATCGCTCACACTTCTCCCATAGAGGTTCCACTGATTCTTCAGGAACACCACTGCAGGGACTTGTCAGAGATCGGTGCCTGATCATCAGCTTGCACACCCGGACGTCTTAAAGTTACCCACATATTCCCAAGTGCACGCACGACCTAAGGCAGTTATTTTTCTCTATCAGGTGCTCACGCTTCCCCTGCGTCATGGTGAAAGAATTGCCTGAGCAAAATCACCACATGGGCGGTCATTCCCAGAATGTGGTTATTATTGCAAAGCGACTTTCATGATGCGTGGCTCAATTATGAACTTGCCGCTTCGCGCAAAGAGCTTTGATCGGGGCAGAAAAGCTACACAAGAAAGTGAGTATTTCCATTACTAAGGATGCGCGCGGGCTCAATCGGACAGCACAAATTTTAGCTCACCATAGATTCACTTGCAAAATCACTGGCCGATCGTAACTACCACACTCGAGAAGACATATACCAGTAATCACAACGGTGGTTGTCTTCCACACGTTATGATTCATTCTACTCGCCACGCAGACACCAGAAAGCTGATGATATATTGTCATATGGACATTTCACACATACTCATAGAGTGATTCCCCTGTGCTATATAGCCCGATGTCCCTCCTTTCCCAGCCTCGATGGTGTATATAGTAAACTTTACTGCGACTTCTATCAAGATCGTTTACACTTCCTCGTAGGCCCATACCCTTTCTGTTGCGTACTTTCATTAAGGATACCACCTCAGCCTTGCCTCAGGTCATCGCCTCGTCTGCACCTGCATTCAGTTCTGCTTCTCCGACCTTTCCGATGGCAGTTGGCCCATCAACTAGTAAGGGACTACCTAGCAGGCTGGTACCGGGCTAACCATTACCAATTACTGGGGTTACTTCCCACAGTGGTGCATATCATGCAACTTGTTACAAGAAATAGAGGATACTAGTACAGAGAAATGGGGGCGGTCAAGAAAGGAAAAGGCAGCTAGGCCGGAGCACAATGGTGATGGAGAAGCCAATACCACATGATATGCTTCCCAGGCGCAGAGGCTCAGCGTGGGGAACTCACACAACAGATGCAGCCTAGCGCTAAGCGTGCATCAGGTACAAGGGAGCAGCCAAAACATTATTCGAAAAATGCGAAAGCGAACCCCTCTAACAGTTTGCGGATAGCTTCGACAAACAAGAATCCACCCGTCTGGGCTTGTCTGTGATCATCTGCAATAATGTCCGCAGCGCGCTCTGCGATTGCATAGACTACTGCCTGAGGATGGGACGCAGGTATATGTGGCTATAACAACATCGCAGCCCTCCTAAGCAACGTGACCCAATAAGGTATAAAGAAATTAACATACGAAAATGCTAGAATCGACGACGCGGAGGCCCTTGATACCCTTCACGGTCAAATCAGGGTTGACAACGCCCTTGGTGCTGTTCCAGGCGGAAAGGGAAAGAGTACCTGATAAAAGATAAATGAATGAAATCCACCATTCACTATCCCATCAATCAGCACGTACAAGCAGGATGCCGATAGACAACTGCAAGGTGAAAAATGTAGAAATCCAGCATCCCGAATCACAGAACCCGTACCGCAAACGTACCGGTATTGTTGCGAATATAATGTTTAATCTCGTCATCCGTTTTCGCTTTAGCTAATTCGCCAAACTCCTCGATAAAGAAACCCTTGACAGCATCTGCAGACGCGAACTCCCGTGCGCGCTTCACGGCTATGGAATGATCAGACACTCAGCTTCGCGGACACGTGCTGTGGAGTGCACTTACAAGTCAGAGCGATGTGAAGATCGATGTCCTCTTTGAAGAGTTCAGGATCGATTAGTGGATCGTCAAAAGGATTGGTTGAGTTCAGTTTTACGCTCCCCCTAGAGCTCGGAGACAAGACAGCTGTCACGATAGTCATGAAACTCCCATTTTCGGGACGGGAAACGCGTAGATTCGCGAATCCGTAATTGAAAAATATTTCAAAATGCGCTGTGTTTGAACCTGCGGAAGCATCGCCAGCTTTCTCCAAGACGGGATCATCTTCTGGCAAACGGAGGGCCCCAATGACCTGACCGACCGTGTCTGACCAACCACCTAAACGGATAGCTTAGTGTGCGGTGCTGGGGGGCAGCCTGGTCAGAGGTGACCTACCGGTTTTGTTTGTCTCGTACAGTAGCGCTTGTTGTTTAGCCCAGTCGCTCAGAGGTTGACGGAAGAGATCGTCATTTGTTTCGTTGGATTTGACATACCACTTTTTTTCCCCCAAGTGTCAGGAAACGCCTATTTTGTCCAGAAACCAGAGCTCAGGCTTGCAGAACTTACATTATTCAAAATTAATGGGTGGTCCTGCAAGTTCTTGCCACTTCAGGGTGGTCTTTAACCACTTTGATACCCAATTTATCGAGGTCCTCTTTTGGACCAACGCCTGAAAGCAGAAGGAGCTTGGCAGAGTTTATAGATCCAGCAGAAAGGATGACATCTTTGGAAGCCCTGACGATGAACCTTTGGCCTGGAAGTTATGCGGCAATTCACTAAATCATCCCCTGACGTAATCCAAGAAATACTTGCCATTTGGACTTTGGGCAAACTCAACACCAGTGATAACAGGTTCTTCGTCCTCACCCTCGGAGAACAATAACCTGGTAACTTGGGCATTCGTTACTACACGCAGGTTCCCTCGGGCCCCAGCCGCTTCGAGGTAGTTGTTTGCACTACTTCTGACTCCTGTCCCTATGGTTGCAATCGTTCTGCCTATACCGAGAGGCTTCCCAGAATTAACATCTGAGTTCCAACCAAAGTTCGGGTTCTGTTGCGCGGCTGTCGAATACTGGTATGAACATCCATACGACACAAATTTGACCGAGGCGAGGCGTACCTTGTTTAATCCTTTCGTAGATTGAACTTCCGTCATTTGGAGGGGAGAGGAGTATAGGACCTGTGTCTCCATACAGATTGGGATCATAATCTCCAGGGAAGTCACGACCACTGGTGGGAGGCACGAGCGTTTCGGACTACAGTAGTAAAGTCAAACGAGCTTAGTTCCAAACAAAGGCCCGAATCCAACAGGTTCAAACCTTTTGGGAAAATGGGAGGATCTTATTCCATGACCAGCGCTCATCGCCTGTGATATTTGCGATTCGGTCATATTCTTCGAACGACCCACGGGTATAGGTCATGAAGTTGGCCTACATCAAAATATTCAGCATAATCGAGCCCAATGGAAATTGGTAAAAATCGTGCACTCACATTTGTCGACCCGCCAGTTACTTTTCCCCTGAGCACTGAGACGGTTTTGTTGTCGATGAGCCCTGCTTGAGGTACGCTCTGGAATGGCCATATGTACTGTGTAAGACCTGGTTGCGCGGCAAGTATGGGAACACTCCATCCTGGAGAGTTTGGCACCCTATTTGGAAATTGAGAGTACAATTCCCGCCAATACTGGTCAACCTACTGTATACCAGCTTCAAGTACGAGGACGTTGAAATTACGATTCTCCGATAGACGCGTCGCAACGACCGAGCCAGCGTTGCCAGCTATATGTACCATGAACGCTAGGTCCGATTCCGGTAGCATTAAGACATACCTCCTATGATAATGAAATCGTAGAAGGTTTTCAGAACACCGTACGTTGGAGACATGTTGATTCAAGCCGCAGAATGAGGGGTTGTCCGTTTGGGCAACCTCAAATATGAAAGAACGAGGTGTTTTTAACGCCCTGTATTTCTGGCTTCCGTGTGGGAAACGGACAGAAAGCAACTGGATCGAATGGCAGCAAGGTAAGAGGTTCCTGCAGCTGTCATTGGCGGTAGATCTGGATCTGGTTTATTCCCCCGATGCCTCGATCATTGGACCCAATCTCGCCCAATGAACAATACCGGTGCAACGTTTCCGAGAGGCATCAAGCCCCTGCAATTGTCATTGGGCCCCTCATTCCCTTGCTTATCCGCCACATCTTGAACTTCACCGTGGAATCGCTCGGAGAACGAAGTTTCTATCTGATGCCCGTCATTCTGACCCCTTGTCCTCGTGAAAGAACTTTTCGAGGACTGAAGGGACAGTCTGGTATTCCGTTCAACACCATGCATGTTTGTGCCTGCAATGTGGTGATAAGGGTAGGGCAGGAACCCCAGCCTTTACTACATAAAGCAGATGACACTAGGAGTGCCTAGGATTGAAGAAATTTAGTCTGCTCCGTTGCCTCGGTCCTCGGTTTCGGGGATCTGCGGATGTGGCGTCGATTACCGAATCGCATTTGGTCAACCACTACTCTGATCCTCAGTTATTCCCTCTCCTGTCCCCCCCTTAGCTTAGAAAAATTGGCCAATCATCTTTTTTTCGTTGTCCGACGGCGGGTTTTAACATCACTCAGTGCCAATCAACGTCGCAGCCCAACTTTGAACGCGTTGCAAACACCATCTTTCTGCTACTTTCGGAGCAACGCTCGCTCGGCTTTCCCACGGCAATTACTCCACCCCACACGATCCTGACGACGCGCAGTGTTTCGATTGATGAAAGATATTTCTCTAAAGCTCTAGGGTCCCCAGCGCTTGCACCCTGATGCGTAATGAAATTCGTTTTGACCGTCCGTCACCATCAATCCGGCGGATGTTTACAATCCAATTGTAAAATTTTCGTCCGGTCCCGACTTCGATCTCAACAATAGGCCGGTTGCCTAAGTCTTATTGGGGACAAGCTAGCTCCCGCAATCCTTTTTTTTGAAAAAAAAAAAAAAACTCGTCATCAATGCATTCATATCTGCCGTTCGTTAGGAGGCGAGAGTTGGCAGAAATTGCCAGCCAAAATCATGCTGATACCACGAAAGCATCTTTCGCGAGCGATAAGGCTTGCACTGATGTCAGCCAATGGCTCACACCCAATCATCGAAACTTCATCGATGAACAAGTGTTCCACTCCACACCCAAACTGAATCAGCTCAGCACGACTTTGAGACCCATTTGACTTCGTCTGGACCAGCTAAGACAAATTGAGGGTGGAATGCAATGTGCAACCGTCGATGTTCTGTGCTGCTGCCCCTGTAAATGCACAACCGTCGCACCTGATTCAAAGAACCAGAAAGCAGTCGATTGCTCTAATTAACTTGCCCTTGCACCCCCATCCACATTGAGCATAAGGCGGTGATGCATGATTAACTATGATATGGAATGCATGCCGCTGTTCTAAGTTGAAGGAGAACTGGGAAGTGACTGCAACCATCACCTCATGAATCGCGATGAGGGGATGGAGGGCCAGAAACAATGCACGGTATATCGGTACGGTGTCGGCGAAATGGAGCGGTAATGGAAGGGAGGTTAATTACCGTGAGAGCTTCTTTGATCATCCCTCCACCTGAACTTTCAAGCACCATGATAGTGATGGAGTCACAGAGGACTTCTTCAGACACGGTGTGGATGAACAGACCAGCATCTGTGGCATGCAATGGACTGCGTTATGGATCTCCCACCTCTTCTCCCTCGCGTTTTCGGTTGGTTCTTTCTTCCATGTCGAGGAGATGATGCAGAAGGATCCCCTTCGAATTCTGTGTCAAGACGGTCGACTGCGCTCTCCTGATCAGAAAAGGAATGATTAGCGCAAAAGTCTGTATCCCGAACACGAGCTCTCAGCTTGGCACACTCTACATCCCGACTGCCCTTGCACTCGTGTAATTGTCAATCACTTGACGAATGTTTTGCAACACTGTGGGAAGAAATTGATCAAAAGCGTTAGGCAATCCACCTCGAAGGTCCAAGGTTTGGAGAGCGTACTAATATTGTCACGTCACAGTAGGATTGGAACACGTTTTCTCAAAATGTGTGTCGCATGTTAAGGGTGGCGGCCATTCAGGCTATCGAGGAATGATCAACGTCTTCATCACCATCCCTTATGAAGTACACCAAATAGGGACTTTGACTACCCACGACACAAAACCCAATACCATTTGGTCAAATAAAGATAAAGGCGACAGATCTCGTGCGATGTAGTCCATTAGCTGTGAGGGCAGGCATTTGACTTTGGCCGGAAATAGCAAGACGCAAGATTCATCGATGTATGTGTTCAAATGTCTGTAAGAAGCGAAGGAAGTCCAGAACAAAGCTACATATGTGGCTGGTTTCACTAACGTGCTTCTGGCACGATCAATATATGGTTCCTAACGTGAGAGGGAACCGCGCATGCTCAGAGGACATTGTTGAATGCGCTTGTGTCCAATTTGGGGCGGGCACAAGAGCAAGTTGCTCTATCTATTGAACTACATATCTTGGGCACTTGCTGCGATAGGCCGTGCACTCTCGGAAAAACTTTTTCAGTAACAATTCAACAGATTACAACAAGGTGCAAAACAAATGGCGCAACAGGTTTCGATGAATGGTCGATCAGGTCATGTGATCAATCCTATTTAGGAAACTGCAAGTCGATCATCATTTATTTTTTGCCATTTATGGATAATCACATGACCATCACATGACCTGCACGGACATTCATCCAAATTGGGCGCGTCAATGTTTTTACACCTTGCTGTAATTACAAGAACAGGCGAACCTATGGCTGTGTTCTTTTTTTCAGCTGGACCACCGTTTTCTCGCTCTCTGATTGGATTTAAGGTTTTAGCCTTGACCTCGAGTTATGACGGATCCGAGATGGAATTCGATTGACTTTCATCGGTGTTGGAGAGTCTCCTGTGCGTGTTCAGAACAGATCGGCTTTCTTTCGGCTAAGTGGTATGTTTTGACATCGATTTGTTCACGATGAATGCGGCCAAGTTTTTTACCTTCCATCCAACTACTATTGGATTAGTGACACCCGTGCTCATTGACACTTTGACTGTGTTTTCTTTCATTTGACACGTCACGTAACGACCAGGTTATACCTTGGTCGACACACTTACCCAATGATTGCGACGACACAACCCCCTGGAATCGTTCAATGTACAGAGTCTTAACAGTGCATTGAAGCACGTTCTTGCTCTCTCATTGGCTAGCCGGGCACCCAGCGTCATTCCGGTTGTGTTCACTTGTCTCGCATCCGTGGTATATACCTATATCATTCCATGGCTTTAGAGCGCACTTTCAGGGCTTGACATGACCTCACATCAGATGAGAGTCTCGCCCCTCAACGACGACTCAGACAGTCGTAAAAAGGTGGGTACATGGGGTTTCTTTTATCATCATGTTTCACACTCCGCGAAACCTTTGAATTGTGTAGTACTCCGGGAGCGTACAACGTTACGAAGAATGGGCACGGTTTACAAACGGATGTGGAGTGTGTTCGCCATGTTAGACTCAAGGTAGCAGTGCAGAGTGTACAACATTAGCCATGCTGGGCTTGTCGTCGTCAATCAGGATCGATAGTCGCATCATTGCGATGTCGCACTCTAGACAACAGATCAGGTGAAGAGGTTGGAGCGGCATGTGAAGAAGTGCGCATCGATGAGATAGATGACGCATGTGGGCCGGTCAGGAAACTCCGGAGATGAGATAAGCTAGCTGGCTGGATGACTTAAGCGACCGGATCCCAAATCGGTGATGATCTAAGCAAGCAGAACCAAAATGGGTGAGGAAGAGCCCTAAAGGGGCGATGAACTAAGCGAGTGCATCCCAAATGGGAGCTGAAGTAAGCGCCTTCATCCAATGAGAGTGTGTGAGACCTCGCTCCAACCAATCGGCGTTCGCGATTCGTGGAGCGTGTCCGCGCTCTTTATATATAGTAGAAACTCGCAGCTGTCAGGACCAATTCAACTGGCAACCCCGCCGCACCCAATGAATGGGTGATATTGGTTGCATGCAGGCGGTTGCAGTGGAGGCCCTTTGCGGTGGCATCAGGAGAATCAGATTCTCGACGAGAATAATTCTACGATTCTGCCCTGCAATTGTTCTTTGAAGGGTACTCGCTCGCAACCTTCGGAGAACATCCACACAAACATATTTAAGCCAGCCGAGCATGTTGACTGTCCTCACCAAACAGCATGGTCTTCGCTGCACTTCTACAAGTTCTTGCTTACATCGGAGTCATCTCCACCGCCCACTCACCATTGGAGATTAACCAGGCTCTGGTTTTGCAACCCTCTATCCCGAGGGATAACTCTCCAGCGGTTCCGCCAATCCTCCCGAATGAACATTGGGGCTACGTGAACTTCCATTACGAGATGGATCAACCTCATCCTATCGACGCTTCCGAGGGGCGTAGAATTAATGTCAAGACACTCGGGTATGTTTTGGGATACCCATACCCATCGCGCTAGAGTTGCTGAGTGTCTTGGACCCACAGAGGGAACTGGACGAATCCGAATGGATCGCTCCTTGCCAAAGTCCTTCCTGGCATCGGAGGAGACCAAGGGTACATTGATAAGGAAAATGTATTCAGGCTAGGTCGGTCATACTCCTAGTTTTCGTATCCCAAAACATGACTGAGGTTGAAATGTATAGATGTTCGACAGGCCATAGAGTTCGTGAGCGATCGAAAGTACGGTTACGTGCAACTGAATGGCTTCGGAAAAGTCGGTGGTGGCAACAACGTCTTTATGTCAGTCGCACATCTTCATTATCGTCGTAGCTCACTCTGACCCCCGTCCGATCCAGAACGGTTGAGACGAGGTCGGCTGCTAACCTCAAATTCAATAACCGGCTATTATACGCTCTTGGTGTCTTCACCGATGCTGGCGTGTCAGCTACTGTATGGGCGCTGGTAAGTTGGATCGGGATCTCAATCGATCCGCACTTTGCTTATGAGACTGCGCCCAATCCTTTTCTCTGTATAGGGACCGCCTAAGCACGTATGAGTCACGACGTGGTTCAGTGCACCCTTTATAGCTTCCCGTCACAATTTTGGCCGCGTTTTGCCCCTTTGTGCAACCCCTGTAAACTGCTCTTGTAAATATCCATCCGACCTGCATTCACCGAATATACTTGTCTATGGCTGACTGCGTTATCCCTTGTCAGCCAGCCTAGTCAGCCATGAATGAGGTCCCACAGAGGGGCATGCAAATAGGACCTAAAGAGCGTGTTCAGAGAACGAGATTCATACACCCTAACGAGAACTTCGAAAGCTACACATCCGATCCATATACTCGAACCGGGACATTCCTCCTTCTGAGACATTCCAAGCCAACAAAGCTCGGCCCAGACACCATACGCCAACTGTGCTAGTAAAATATGTACAACATATATAACTGTTGGATAAACAAGCTATGACATGCACACTACTTTCCGCATCTCTGTATTCACTTGTGTTCACATCGACAATTACATCTTAAGAGTCTACAGCCATCCCAACTGAGCCATTGCTGTATTGGTGTTCTAAGGTAGCAGCCGTGCATACTAAGTAATCACTCTCCCGGAAAGTTCAGATATAGCAACACGAAGTGCTTGTCGACAGAAGTATGTGCTGTTGGGAATTACCATAGCTGACATAGGCTGGAGTCCTGCCTATAGCTGACAACGCTTATTTTCAATTAGTTTCTTTAACACGGTATTGATGTGAAGTATATGGAAGTACAGTACAATTTTTGGAGTATGCTCAGTTTTTTACTTTGAGACTGAGGTGATACCCTTTTCTTCATGCTTTGTGTTCGTTCATATAACTTACTGTACTTGATTGTGAAAGTTCGTACGTACGGGTAAAGAGTTACAGTTCTCTACTTTGATCGGGCTGAGTTCCTACGTATAGTGAATATTTCGAGCCCAGAGCAATCTCTCCCGACGTGAACCATGGATAGGCAGGTGGCCAGCAACCATGGACTCTACCAATGAAAGGAGTCGGAGTCGAGAAACTTGACAATGGGAAGAACTGCCTTTTGTGGTCTGACCGCGTGGGAGCTATCTTAAGGATCAAAAATTCTGGGAGGTTGTGGAGCCCCAAGATCCCAATTCCACTACTACTGCATCGACACAAACTCAGGCTGCTGCCACCCAAGCTCCTCCTACCGCTACAGCGCAGACCACTGCTCCGGCCCCGACGCCAGCGGAGGCAACAACTTCCACAACGCTCCAGCCAAAATTCGACTCTGACCCCTGGAGAATGGGACAAGAAGAATGCTACCTCTTTCTTACCACCATTACTAGCGAGGTTCCTCAGAAGCCTCTCCCTCTCCATTCCTGCGTATCTGTGGCACACGTCATTTACAATGTGGCGACCATCCTGCGTACGCTGTCTTATTCTTTGTTGCCATTCATATCACCTTGGCAAATGCGAGCTATGCCCGGATAACACTTTGTGACTGGTTTACATTGCTGTGGTTCGTAATGCGGGCATCGCTCTCGCCTTCTCCTCTGGTGTCAATTTGCCGCTCTGCCGCCCGTGAGACTGTTGTGGTTCAAAAAAAATTGGGAGGAGTCTAGCTTGGGCCCGTAGATTTCCGTGAGTGCTGACCTCAGAGTCTCTCGCGTCATTGCTTTTTAATGCCAATGCCAATTACCCCTAATCTCTTCGACAGAGCAGATAAAGCACGCCGATGATGATGTTCTTTTCGATACTTGTTCCGCCGCTCGTTCCGCTACTCCTCCTGCTAAAAGGAAGTGAAAAACTCCGTGGCGATGAATCCAAACCGGGCGTTACTGCAATTGTTCGGCGCTTCGAACAAATCATCTACTCAATCTTTACCAATATCAGTCATGGGAACCTACCAGAGGGAAGCGGAGTGCACGGGCGTCAATGGGGCACAGATGAAGTTTTGTGATAAAACTGGTTTTCTCTGTCACCCACTTGACTTATCTGTTGTCGCGCCATGACGGCGTTGATATCCTTTTCGAAATAGGCCTTCTGTTCCCTGGACCATTTTCGCATTCAAAAGTACTGGCCCGTCGATTATCCTGATTACGTCGCCGATCTGACCACACAAATGCAACGTACGGATGAATTCCTTCTCACTTTCAGCGTAAGTTATCAAAGGCTATGAAGACAGAATTCTCCCTAGCAGAAGCCGGGGTCTCATGGAAGTAAAAGGAGGAAAGCAACCTTGGGGCCAAATTTGTGACATGTTGATACAACTTGCTGATGATGTGGCCAAGGAGAAATCCGCGGACCACAAGATCAACGTATGGTTCACTCGACATTCTCGTGAGTGAAACGGTTTTACGCTATGCAAGGATTCTTTCGTCGGTTGGTCTCGCGTATGCCCGTGCAATCAACAACAAGTGGTAGGAATTCAAAGACATGGCGCGCAAGAAATGCGTCTGGGTAAAGTGCTTACTGGATAAAGTACGTCACAATAACGGGTCTTCCACTGCAACCGAGATCCGCGTTTGGTGGCACAGCGGTATCGCTTCTGTGTTAATTGTATTTGGGGCTTGACCTTGCGTCAGCCGCCAATTGGCAATTCGATGCATCTGTTATAGTAGTCTAAATCAACCGGTAGAGTGATTTGTAGTGCTACTTGTGTCCTGATCACTGCCGTGGACCGGACGTCATATTCTCAGTCAGAAAGGAAATAACCGCCTTGGGTTAATAGGGGACTCAACGAGGGCATCATACGGGTGAGGGAACAATGAATTGTTGAGACGTCCACGGTATCTACGAAGCACAAAATCTGAGGCCAATAAAAAATGCTGACATGATATTAAGACAAGCAGAAGGATAGATGCTGTGGGTATAGGTTTAGTGGGAACAATAAGTCCACTAAGGTCAGAGCCAAACACACCAAAACCAAAAGAGTCGAAGAAATGATAGACAGGGAACGAACAACTTAGTCAGGAAAGCCCACAACAATGGATTGACTATCGGAAGGTTGCTGTCCTGGGCAACACTGATCGTTTACGCACTTCGTGTTCCACCTTTGAACGCATCTTGCGCAACTCGTCCTCCTTGAGTTTAACAGACATTGCGGTTTGCACAATTTGATCAGGATCTGGAGGAAAGATCTCTGCAGGTGGCTGACTTAAATATGCAAGCGCCTCCGCACCTGTGCGGCATCGAGCAGGATTCATGATATAAGGCTGGGCGAAGGATATGATCGCCAGACCTATCCTGAAAAGGATCGGCGCGGCTATAAGTGACGTTTCCATCAATCTTCACTAAATGAAATGCGACGCATAGCTGTGCAACAACTGACTTTCAAATAACATAATCACGTCCCAGGTCCGATTTAAGTGTGAGGAGGGAAGAGTGACAGAAAATAAACTGGGAAACCTGGAGAAGATAGAGCTGTTAGAGAATTTGGGGGATGAGACAATACCGCTCGCACCAATTTCGACAAAGCTCCAGTGGGGAAACTTGGAGTGTATTCTGTTTGGATTAAGGGTAAGAGTCTCATAAATTGAATAGGAAAACTCTCACAAATAACCGAACGGCGATGCTCTTGTCATAGGTGTTAAGCGCTTTCTCGAACAGCAGGGAATCAATTTCCAACAGTCGTGCTACAGATGAGAAATAACCACGGAGATGATTATCCATTAAAGCAACGAATGTCCAAAATGCATCCTCTTCCGGAGTTTGGAGAAGTACATGACCGGCTACCAGGGATAAGCCTGCAAGGCGAACGCGTTAACTACGACAGGGCAAACGACGGTGAAACTCACTGTAATTATACTCCGTGTCTGGCACCATACAAAAATAGGCTTGCAACAAGGACATCAAAGGACCATCGGGATCACACAAGTGAATATGCCCGGAAAAGTGACTGTCAGGGAATAATTAAGATGCATTCACTTCGATCAGCATGCAGGAATGGAATAACCTTTGGATATCCATCCATATCTCATCTGAAGCAGCAACCTTCCCACGCATACAAAGTTTTTCATACAAACCAGGCATCCGACGCCCTTTTGAGTCGGTCAGATACAACCTAATGATTCATTCGAGGCATGAGTAAGAGCGCCATCAAAATAGGTCCTGAAGCTTACCAAACAACACCCCTCACAGAAGCAGGAATGCCATCAAGGACGAGCTTCCGGATCTTCCTGCTCTTCTTCGCTTCCGCACTGGGTGTGCTGTTCATGGCAGACAACCACTTGGACTCGAGCTGCCTGTGCAATTCCCTATACTTTGCATTGACTGGCGAGGTAGCAATCGTGATGGCAGGCTCCCGCGTAGTACTGCTTGAGGATGAAGGCATCAGAGAAGGAGGGAAGGACCCTTGGAAGGGAGACATTGGCGGTGGGGAAGTTGGAGACATGGGAGACAAGCTTGGACTATAGGAGCGCGAACTATCACGATCAATTGTCCCAGAATCTTGAGGAGCGAGGAAGCCTTCACGGTCAACTAGGGGGGATTGTTGATGCATCAGTTCCTGTTCCTCATCTTGGTGTGGAGGTGGATGACGGATAAGAGTTGGCCGTATGAGGGTGAACTCCATGTCATCAACTTCGACAACTTCTTCTTCAGACATGTCATCATCGTCCATCCGACTAGGCCCTTGTTCGGCTCGGCGACGGGATGTGTGTGAGCCGTGGCGCATACCCGACATGGAGAGTTTGGATTGGAGGGATTGCGTGCGTGAATTGTGGGACTTTGGAGACGACGGGTATCCCGAAGACGAGGCCGTTGCAGATGGAAGGGAGCCATCCACGGGATAGATATCATGGTGCTGGGGATGCGGATTCAGTTTGACACCGTAGTCTTCCAGAATATCGTCGCGGTATGAACTTGCTGATTCAGTCTCGATTACATTCAGCTCTGCTGAGGCGGTAGTACTCCGATTTGTTTGCCTCCTGAGGCTCGACACGGATCGTGGTTTATCCAGAGGCCTGTCAGACTGCCCGAAAGCAAGGGCAGTTACTGGAGCTGAAGAAGGGCCCTGGGGCTGCAAAGGGCCTGCCCAGGTTTGTAATGAAGGTGATAACACCGGCTCAGGTCCCTTCGCGTCATCTGAGTCGGCTCGTCTTGCCGTGATATTCAAGGGAGTGGGCTTGGACAGCTTTCTCGGCAACTTTGGTGTCGGGAGAGGCTTAGCGGAAGAGTCGTGGAATGAGGCCGTAGATTTTGAGAAAGTTGCTTCATGCTCCTCAGGCTTTGGTGTGGCGGGTAATGAATGCGAATGATATACGGAATTCGTATGCTCAAAGAATCCAGGGGACAAGCTGCCAATAGGAGAATAGCTACCAACCATTGAATGTGAATTGCGATAAACGAAGACAAGAAAAACACACCTAGGCGTCTCAATTGCAGTAATGATGGCCGAAAAAGAGCGTGAACGAGGCCTGGTCGTTTGGACAGTCGGTGAAAAATCCGTTCTTTCCAGCGGCTTGTCATTAGAGGGCATCGAAGGGGAGGGTTGGAGGTGGGTTATGTGGCGAGGGCTACTCGAAGCAGAACCGAGGGGGGCACTGGACTGGCGTATGATAGGAGACTTATGTGGTGTAACGTCAAACTTGATCGGAACTGGCCCTTCGCTGGAAAGCAAATCCTGAGAAGTACGACCATGAATAGTCCCCGGACCAGGGTGCGGCCCATGCACCTTAGAATGTGCTGCCATAGCGAGGGTATTTAGAAGTGCTCTGTGGCCGGCATTGGCTCCAACACTACCATTCGGATTAGTTGTCGGACGATGAATTGCCGGACCTAATAGAGGAATATTTTCTGGGGCTCTGGGTGCGTATGGGTGAGTAGTGCGGGTCGGTGGAATCGGAAACACCAAGTTATCCACAGAAGTGGTGATGGGGGAGTTGGTATAGGCCAGGAGCGATGGTTCCTCCGCGCCTGGTAACTCATGGCTAGTTTTCACCGTAGAAATTTTCAAATTATTGGGGTTTATGGAGACCTCGCTGGAATTGGGACCGGTTTGCATGCTATGTGTCTGCAGAACGCAACGAGCAGAATATGATCGAGCGGCAGTCTAAAACATAAACAATGCCAAGAAGCGTCCAAAAAAAACCAGCACTATAGTGCAAAAAACGAGTAAACTAGGTCCTCAACGGTGCTGAAGGGGAGAGATTGATTCAGGCATGTCCCAGCAAGGAACCGGGGAAATGGACCTGGGGGGGCGGAAGCTGCCGATTCATATTCAATTGTCACCGCCGGGCATTGCATTGCATCTTCGTACTGGACGGTCCATCGAGGATAACTAAGTGAATCGATCCAAGCGCCCCTCTTCAGCGCAACATCCTACGCAGTGGGGTTATTCGAATATGAGTGACAGCCTTGCTCTCACGAGGACAAATGGACCAGCACTCCCCTCTCGCACCAGGACGAATGTGCCTGCGTTCCTTAACAAACTCTACAGCATGGTCACTGACCCCGAGACTGATGACCTTATCAGATGGGCAGACGAAGGGGAATCTTTCTTGGGTGAGTTTCCCGCCTCCACGATGCACACACAAGACACACCCACTCAGCCGTCAACCATTCACGTATGCTCCATAGTTCCAAATCATGAGAAGCTTGGTCGTGAAGTCCTACCACGTTTTTTCAAGCATGGGAATTTTGCGTCCTTCGTCCGTCAGCTGAACATGTACGGTTTTCATAAAGTGCCCCAGCTTCAGCAAGGCGTTCTTAAGAATGAGACCGAGACTGAGCTGTGGCAATTCACCGAGCCTAACTTCCAGCGAGATCGACCGGATCTGCTGGAGAACATCCAAAGGAAGAAAGGGCCCTCTGCGAGCAATAACCAAACTCCTATCGATGGCGCAAACGCAGGACCTGGCGGGGACACTGCATTAGGCGCCGTGGGTAATGTTACTGCAAATATCGCTAATGCTGGTCCATTGGCGCTTCAAACGCTTGCGGGAGAGCTTTCCTCAATCAAGATGCATCAAGCAAACATTACTTCGGAACTACAGGCACTTCAAGTTTCGAACCATTCCCTTTGGCAAGAGACTCTGGCAGCCCAGGAACGGCACAAAAAGCAGCAGGATACGATAGAGAGGATTCTCAAGTTCCTTGCCAGCGTGTTTGGGAACCCTTCATCGCATGGCGGCTCATCTCGCTCAGGGGGAGGGAACTCGGGAGCTGTGCATCGCAGCCCAGGGCCTCGCCACAAAGGGCTGTTGATGATTGGCAATAGTCAAACGCCGGCAAGCAAATCGCCCAGTTTTTCGCCACACTTCTCTCAGGACACGGTGAGCCCTGCGTTTTCCGACAGCAGTAAGTTGTTCATCTCCCCTGGGATTAAGGAGCGGTTTTCCTGATGTCCTTCTGTCTTCTTCAGACCGGTTTACTGAAGCGAATAGCCCACTTGACATTGTTGCTAATGATACTGCATCCCCCCCACGTGTGGTGGAAGAGCTCACGTCGCCTTCGACAGAAAGCGTAACACGTCCAGTGACGTCACCGAATCAAGTTGCCCGTCGCACGCCAACTCGAGGACTTAGCACGCCCATCCAACCCCTAACGCCTCAGCCGACTGAGAACACACCAAAAGATGACCCTAATGATAATGATCTCGCTTTCCGTGCTTCCTTGGCCTCCATCCTCAATTCATCTTCATCTCCACAACGCCTTCTCGCCACTCTTTCTCAATTGCCACAATACAATGGCGGAGATTCATCCTTTGGCCAATACCAGCCCTCGTCTCTAGAATATCCTCATGATGATCTCAGTAGTCATGCGCACGACTTCCACACATCCGATTACTTCAACACTTCGTCATCCCCCGTTGAAAATTTCGCTAACCGGTTCATAGAGCCCGGTGACCCTAACAGCGAGCTTTACTACGCAAATGCTAGCGCAAGCCCTGCCCTGAGTGCCGCTACTGACGGTCTTCGAAAAGTATATCAAAATGCCCAAGAAGTCGAAGCCGACGTGGATAACCTCCAGATGAACCTGGAATCATTCATGGAGACGCTGGGTATGAATGCCTCATCATTTGGTGACACCTCACCTCCAAGCATGGATATCTTCACCAACGGCGATATCGAAGCTACTGAGAATGGTGATCCGTTTGCGGTGCCTTTCGACACTGCAGCCCACGTGCCCGCGTCCAATGATTCAACGACACCCACGAAAGGGAGTGTTGATGACGTTCAAGGCGAGGGGAAGGTGCCTTCGGTAGACATTGATTCGTTGTTTGATCAGATCACAACAGCAGCGTCAGAAGGGAGTTCATTCGACAGTTCGCAATATACCGCTCAAGATGCAGAATCAATCGCGCAGCAGGTTGCGATCCTTCCTGAACTTGGAAATGCTCTGCAAGATCCTCCAATTTCCCCTCCACCCAAGGCTACAACTATAGCATCGACCCCCAGCCACCCCCCTTCATCGCCTTCTGCTGTTCATTCTCGATCGCCCCGATTGAAGCGCAAGTCAGACTTGATAGCCCCATCAATAGATGGTTCTCTCAGAGGCCCCAACTTGCCTGAACGGCGTGATCTTGCCCCTCCCTCACCGCTCAAAAAAAACCGCGTGAAACGTAGGAAGATTTGAGGAGGTATTTATGGCGCTCGGAGCATCTTTGTCCCCTGTTTCTGGTAATGCAAGCATGAAAGTTTTTCCACTTGAATGCATATACACGGTACAGCACGCATGCACTATAACTCATTTTCATGTTCTCCCTTGTACCATGACAGTCCACTGATTCCCCTTGTTCTCTCACATGTCGTCGTATCTTATCCCATTCCAATTTCAACCTGGTGTATTCCTGCTAAATTTTTTACATGCGAATATTTGTGTTTATTTGAGCTGTGGTCTACTGATTACCTTTCTTTGTAATAATAGCGGAATACAAAGCGCGAATATACTGTTATCTTCGATTTGTGTAACGCACTCCATCGCTAAATTTCACGCCAGAGCAGTGGTTATCTTCCTAAAAGGATATGTATTTAACAAGAGCGCTATAGAGTCACAACGACCTGGCGGCTCTCTGTAGTCTAAGGAATCGTCCAAATGAGGTTACGTCCGCCGAGTGAATGTGAGGTTTCTTGTGGGCGAACGTCGCACTCCAGAAGCCTTCTTGATGTGCAGCCAAAGCCGTACTCATGTAGTACTCATGTCGCCTTATCCACGTGCACAAGTCGTTGGTTTATCATACCATCGAATGCTCTTCCGGATACTGCGTGCTCATGGCAAGAGAAAGAATCGCCACTAGACTTTGCACTGTACATACGTGAAACATAAATTCCAAAGTAAATGCAAGTCACCGACCGGAACCTTCCGGATTGCTCTGGATTGTTGTAGGAAATCCCCAGATAATTCCAGTAACTCCTTTATTAGGCAGCGCTTGTGTACGGCGCTTGCGGACATTTTGTGTATGTATAAATACGCACGGACGTGGTAAAAATCGTCAGTAAAAGTGGTCGATCGCGAGTTGAAGCCGCTGAGTTAGCGGATTGCCTTATTAGGATTCCCCTCTTACAACACCAGATGTACTGTCATGGGGAGCCAAATCACCGAGCGCGTTTGCATGGTGGAGAGGTGCCGATCGAATGTCTCACTTCCGTATTGAGCAATAGTTGACGGTGTGACGCTCGACTCGCTTCTAGCCATCAGGTGGTGGTGGACCTGATTTATTACCTGCGCCTCGAGATGACATGGGAATCGGCTATCCCGTCGTAGCGTACATCAGAGGACCATCGATACATGAAAGGGCGGAGCTGCTGGTGTGTGATTTCTGAAATATGGTCCTCGCGGTGGTACCTTTTGGGTGCGTTGTCGGTAGACCACTATACTAATAGAGGCTGGGGTAACCTGCCTAGTAGAGCACCAAAGATTGTCTCTATGTTACGGTCGGTTAGCTCACTAGGCGTAGGCCCAATCCAAAATTTTCTTTGTGAGCCACTTTAGACTGTACACGTCAGAGTAATATTCCCGTTATCTGAATCAATAAAGGCCGAATTGGTCGTGTCAGTTGCGTCAATCAAAGATCCACGAATTAAGCCCATATCAAAGCTAGGGGATTGATGCGGCGAACGCGCACATTGTGGTTTTTTGCATAGAAAGCGTTGTGAACGTTGCACTTTCAGGACCGAAATTCGAACCTCCATTCTGATCATGCGTAAAAGCACTTCTCGCTTGTCCGGATGTTTAGGAGTGACGCACTGAGCTGATCAGCTTGGCGCGCTGACTAAGGCGCAAACAGGCTCATAGAGCACTTGCAGTGGCCCCTGAACTCCATTGAGGCGACGAGCGGTGCGTTAGCTTGTGTAACGAAGTGCTGGGTTACTTATTCGGAGGGATGCATGGCAGTGCATCTGATTTTTCACTCCGCCCTACGCCCATTATAGAGTAAACGAGAAGTTCCCAATGATGTATAATCCCTCTGCCTAAATTTTAGCTGTGCACTAGTGAGGAGTTCTGAATCTCTATATTCAGAACGTCATCGACGGGACAACATTCTCTCTCGCTCCGTACCTGACAGGGATCGGCTGATTGAGGATTGATTTGACCTACAACCAAGTCGCGGCAGGACTGATATTCTACATCAATCTTTCCGTGACTAGGAAGGCGCGAATCAGTATGTGAGGACCCCCAACCCCTGAAAGGCGGGGAGCGAGTTTGGTCAACCCATGTCAACTATCAGACTCCAGGAGAGGCGAAAAAATGGTATCCCAAGTCGCGACGGACGGTGATAGTTGTGCGATACAGATTGCTCCCATCACAATTGGATAGCCGGGCACAAATTCCCCATCATCCCAATCAAACTTGTGCTACGATCTTGTATACGGGAGGTTCATCATTCTCCCGACGAAAACTTGCACCAGCGTTCCATGGGACCCTCACGGTTACCCCCATGAGGGGTAAGGCGGTGGTGGTCCAAACAAAGTATGCGACGCAGAGTCCTATGGATGGCAGTATTTTGGACGCTTCTTCCCGAAGAACGCCGGCAAGGGATTGAACGTCTCTTTCTCGCATTCGACTGAGCGTCGAAACCTCAACGATAGTCGCCACTGGGCGGCTAAGAGGCAGAGGAAAGGGAAGCCACCAGCTTCTTGAATTGTGTTGAGAATGGGGCTGCCGAATAGAGCTGGGCCTTTGAGGAGCTGAGTCAATGGAACAACGGTGAACCGGTCCATGGTTTGCTAGAGAGCTCAATCATGCAACTTAATAGGTAATTGGGCCGTAACCATTTACCCCATCCAAAGAGATTCGACACCGTGAGCACCCTCTCGTACCCTCTGCGAGTGCAATGGAAGTCTTGCCGGCACCGGAAATGCCATGTAACATCGTCCCTAGTACACAGATTCATCCTCAGGGGCGTGACCCAACAATCAGAATAGCTACGAGGCGGTGTTATAGGGGGAAAGCTTACCTACGATAACCCCAACACTTCGCCAAGAACTCTCCCCCAAGCTATCGATCCATCCTGAGTCTCTCGAGCAAGAAAATGAAAGATCGTTCATCTACTTTGAACCTTCGATCGATTCGATAGTGATGCTATAGAGTACTACGCGTCTTTGGGCTCAGTGACACTCTCCACCCATGGTCTTGCCCCACCCGATCAGCCATAGGATTCGATACCGACAGCTACCTCAACCACAGCGTCTACCATGTGCCTTGCGCAAAACCAGTGATTTCCTTTTTACTCTCCTAGGGATTCTACGTACCACAAACTCGCGACCAAGAACAGCACTAACTTCATCTCCGGTTGCGCTCTTTAAAGGAGAGTGCTAGCGGTAGCATCTACGGCGATCGGGGTTATCGCTGAGCGGAGATCATCGATCTTTCGCTTGAGATGTCCGCGTATACATGACAGGTAACAACAAGGGGGAGGAACTTTCGGTGTACAAGATGCACGGAGACGCAGAGTGCAAAGGAGGCCTTTTGTTCAGTTATGGAAAGTCGAGCGCCATCGTGAGAATTTGTCAGGTTGAATCCGAACCTTCCACAAATGCAATTGCTAACTGCCAGAACGGACATGTTACGTATCACAGGAGTAGTAGCCCAGAGGAGACCCAAGGTGGTAGGACTTCATGTGTGGGGATGGAACGCAATCTATCATCAATGACAGTCATTTCGGACTAAACAGAGCTGGCTAGCGATGACCGAAGGAATTCCGGCGACTTGGAAGGATCACTATACGCTTCGCGTACTTTCACTGGTTGGATGCTTAGGCTACTCGTGGACATCCACAAGGGAAACGCAACGCAGTTGTTAGTTGGGCCAATCGAAAACACTGCCAGAGTCGTCAGATGCATTGATTACGGCACTTGTGGGGGGGGGGGGTGAGTCTACGCTTGACACCCTGCGAGCTGATCTAGCCACCATGAGATCAGAAGATACACTCAATCGTCCGAGCTCATTAGTTCCTCCAGTTCTCGCTCTTCCTCTTCTGTAATTGTTGCGCTTGGTGGTGTTCTCCTCGATTTATCAAGCTTCAAGGCTGCATCCACTTGGCGCTGATATGTCCCGTTCAGGATATCTTGATGAAGTAAGATTACATCGGCGAGTCTACACAGAGCCATCAAGAACGTGTATGCACATACCCTTAAGGCGCCAGCGGCGAACCATGCAATCCAAACCCGCAGTAACGATCCAAATTTCACTGATTCCCGATTTTCCTTTTGGGGCTTGCTCCCAGAATTCGATCGCGGTAACATCATGAGAATGAGCGTCCAATTCAACAACTTTCTCAATAACGCCGTGTTTCTGATTGACGGAAGTGATGTCCCAAACGAAGATTTTGTCCGCCGACCCTGAGATGAGGTACGGTTCGTCGACGTGAACGAGCGGGAGCGGTAAGACAGCACGGACGAGGGAGGGGTGAGTGATTGTTTTGGGGCTCATGACTTCAACTGTGGGGGAAGGTTCGTCATCCGTACTGCAGTTGCCTTGGATAATAACACTATAATCAGTTGATCCTACGATATCGGTGCCCATTTCAGACGGATAGGCATTTTTGGGCAACTCGCCGTGATGGACTGATTACGGACCTGTCCAGATTTGGCCATTCGATACCACCATGTCATTGATCCCCGTTCTATGGGCTTTATTCTCTCTTACGACATTGCCTCGTATTGAAAGGGCGCCAGAAGCCCTCGTCGAAATATCTAGGGACCAAATTTTAATAACACCCATGCTGTCTGCAGAGTAAAGCCGGAGATTTTCAGTGATCGTTGCGTATTCTTCTTCGGCAGCGAACCGTGGGGCTCCGTCCACGGACAGGCACTCCACGGGTCGTGTGTGGCCTGTGAACGTCCCGACGTGAAGCAGCTGGGATGCGGGGCTGGAAGAAAGCACGGAGAGATCCCTAGTAAAGTCAACCACATCAATAACACCGGATAAAGAATGTGGGTGGTGCGTAGGGCTCACCACATTCGAATGCTTTTGTCCGATGCGCCAGAGGCCACTAAACGCAATGAAGGAATGACGCATATCGATTTCAAGAAATCATCGTGAGCGTCCGTTGTGGATACACATTCCTTAGTCTTTGCGCCAGTTAGATGAGAGAAAGACAGGTCATAGGCCTGCACTGACTTCTGTGTCCCAAATTCTAATTGTCTATTGATTGAATGGATCAGATTATACTGACGCTCAACGAAGGGAAAGAGGCTGACCTTATCCCACGAGCCCGTGATAAGTAGTTCAGACGTCTTCCCACCCCGCTCAACCGTGTAGAATGCAAGGCAAGTAACGGGAGCTGAGTGACCCCGGTAGATTTGTAGCGTTTCCCCTGTCTTAGAATAGTAGCGAATATATGGCGCATAGCTAGGGAAATAGTTGTAATTACCTGAAGATTTATCCTTCTTACGATAGCCGTGCTTTCGGTTGTCCAAGCATCTTGATCACGAACGATCATACGAATAACTTTCCCTTTAACCAAGATAGGATCGCCGACATCTTTCAGAGCATCTGCCTTGATCTCTCGCTCCTACGCATTCCCCGGATCAAGCATGGGCGATCCGTCATGTATGAGTAAGCATCAGCGTTGACAGTTTCTCAACCAAGTTGGAAGCCAATTGAATGACACACATGAGCCTTTCTCAGGTCAGCTTCGGCTTGCAGCAGGGGGGCTCTAAACTTAGACATTGTGACCAGCACGTCCGGGTCGAGTGGCGGGGTAATGGAATAAGCGCCTCACGAATTTAGACTGGAGCGCCCGTCGACATCAACCCATTGAATCGGCAGAATGATGTGTTCGGCCAACTCCGCACTAAGAAGTTCACGTGATCACATCTTGTAATTCGAGAAGTGCTTGGTGATGGGATTTGGAGTTTCCTCTTCCAATACTGGCGATTTGATGCGAACTTATTTCACTGTGGAACACCGATTTGTTCCCCCCTTCCGGCACCCTAGGCGGCTCAAATGGTATATAGATATGATTCCCCTTCGCTGATTAGGAGCTTCAGCCAAGCGGTCTGCTGTTCTCCTTTGCGTCCTCCGCCAATGTTCACAACGGGTTTCGGGGGATCGAGACTAGCTCTATGGCTTATCCTATCGGCGCTATCAGCATTTGCGCAGTTCGTAGGTGTCGGAATGCTATCATATCATTAGTAGAGTAATAAATCACTTGTGGCAGAGCAACGTGGTATGTACCCCTGGTTGGGACTGGGTGAGTGCTGATCATCTCGTTTCTGTCGCAACGTGGTAATGTTTGTCCCGTCTCATAACCAGGCCAACAACACTCTACGGTGCTACGCGAACGTTTCATTGAATCCGATCAAGGTGTACTGATGGACTCCCGTCGTGAAGACAGAATCCCTGCCTGGTCGCTGCCTTACCTCCAGTCTGTCTGCTCCGGTACATGTAAGTCGAATAACACAACCCAGCTGCCACTTCCTCATCCCGTCCCAGCGTATAACGTTCTTCCTCTACCCACCGGCCATCATTATATCGGACCAACCGGCGATCCTTCCACACAGAATGCTTGTAAGTTGCCCAATATGCTCGCCCCCGTGAAGTGCTGTGCATTGATGGTTTGCAGGTAGCTGTAGTTCGGTCGTGTACACACTATTCTCCGCTTGTGGGCAATGTCAGAGACGGGAGACCATAACTTATTCGGCCTGGACATTGTTTTGTGCTTCACATCCCATCCCTCCCGGAGTGTAAGCTGTGTCATCATTCCGGGCGATGGCCCTGCTGATGTCGCGCCTTCATCAGCTACAACGAAACGATACCCGAAGGAACAGCCGTACCGGCTTGGGCTTTCATAAATCCCAAACGGCATAACGATACATTTAACGCCACCATCGCCTAAGCTCGTAGGAGGTGAGATTTTTGGCTCGTCATACAATGTGTTGCGGGTCAATTCAAGGCACCCTAGATAAGCCTGAGCGAACACCACCGATGACGACTAGCATTTCCACACTGAACACTAGCACCCAGAGAAGTTCCGGTACCCATATCGGCCCCATAGCCGGAGGAGTCGTTGGTGGTATCATCGTGCTGGCCCTTCTTGCCTCGTTTGCGATTTGGCTGTTTGAAAAAGCACCAGCAAGATTACAGGAACTGATGGTGCGAGTGGACACGCGGAGGACGAGAAAGATCGGCCGCCTAGTTTGGTACTTCCAAGTTTTCCTCCGCCAGATGGGACAAAGTATCAAGACGTATACCATGGGAGTGCAGTTGTAGAAAGTGGGATGGGTCAACATAGCAATGATCCTTACGCAGTGTATCGTGGCATTTCTTCCATTAGCAAGTGCGTGTTTCTTTCAGTACGCCTACCCTGTGATCTCACCGTCGTCGTTTTTAGTCGTGCCGATCATCCATTCCCTCCTGAGTTTCCCTCAACTCCGCCGACGAATGCACAATCCACTGTTCCACTGGTACCGATACCGAACGCCCCACAAGCACTGATACCGGACACTCCCCAGGTCCCCCAGAATCCAGAACCAAATGAATCCCATCGACCAGCCCACGACCAACGATCTGATCGTGTGGAGCCGCCGCGTAATCCATCATACGTGCGACCTCTCCCTCGTCCCGGGGCCCTGAAAACGAACGCCGGGAATCAGTCGGGAGCGCAGTGATCCTGCCCATTT